TCTGTTCTGCTTTAGAGATGGGGGCAGGGCTATGCTAGGAAGAATCGATCGCCGTGACAGCTGTAGCGAACGCCTCGTCGTGTTCCGCCGGGATTCGACAGCTCGGTCTTGCCTCCCTACGCATAAGTCCTTTGATTTCGTTATAATAACGCACTCCCAAGGAGCCAAGGATCCGCAGAGCGAGGCTATGAAAAGGTAGAGCGGAGGGACAGAAGGGAATGCGGGGGTGGCAACGCGCCCCGGACGCCGAAGGTTACGCCGCCTTGGCGTGGAAGCACCCGAATCCCGGCCACCGGCTGTGGGCGCCGCGGCGCACGGTCGGTTCTGGCGTAGGGTTTCTGGGAGTGTAGTTTTCCCAGCTTTGCGGTCGAGGGAAGCTTGCCACCGCCGTCCCGACACACCCGTGCGATACGGGGCTGTGTGCACGGTCCGGTGGTGGGGCCGGCGTTGCAACACTTAATATCAGTAACAGAAGTTTACAGGGCTGGCCGTGTCTCTAGAGAGACCTAGTAAATGCCTGGGAAATTGGAAAGTTTTCACTAGAAAATGGCGCCATAAACTGGGTCCGGACAGATTTGGCGTTTGCCTGGGAGACAGTGGGAAGGCGACAGCGAGTGGGTGGGATCATTCCAGGCGGAAGAAACTGCTCCTACAAAGCTTAGAAGCGTGAGAACAATTCCGATGGCTGAGGACATGAGTTTGAGTGGGGTTGGTAAGCAGTGGGATGTGAGGATTTAGAAATAGAAAGAAACCGGAGCATGAAGGGTCTTGAATGCTAAGCCCAAGAATTTTGACCTTTTCTTCAAACATTGAAGCTCCACACACTGCCCGGGCAGAATGAATGGCTTCCTCCTTTTTGTTTTGTTCATCTTTCTATAATAGAAACATCTCTTGCCATAGCATTCTGATTGTGTCTTCCTATCAGAAGCCCAAAAAGGCCATGCATGTGATAAGAACTCAGGAAGTGTTCATTGAATGATCAGATTTGAATTTTAGAAAAGTCACCCACACCATTAGGAGAGTGAATAAGAAGGGAGTAAGAGACAGTGCAAAAAGCCATTAGAATTCAAAGTAAATTCCTTTGTCCACCTCTGTTTTACCCCAAATCTATGGGTTGAAAATCTAGCAGCTCAAAGGCCTTTTCCAATACGGGTTTTGTTTGGCCAGAATTTTTTAAAAAATTAGTTGGCCCATGGGCCGGCCCGGTGGCGCACTGGATAAGTGCGCCGCTTAGAGAACAATGGGAAAATGACTGGTTAACATCAGTGTAAGGATTAAAGCAAAGAGAATGTCATTATTATGCATATTGAAAATTTAAACTGTCCTGCTTGGGAAATTGTTCTCTCTGTTTCTCTGAAGTCCAGAAAACAACTTAGTTTGGGTTTGGCACATTAACCTGGGTGACTACATACTGATTTTTAATTTTATCTGTTGGGACCTAATGTGGGAGCTTAGTCCAAAACAATGGCCTCTTAGAATTTTTATTTAATAGTATTTCTGAGGAGTGATACAATGAAATCTGTATTTTAGGAAGATAATACCGCCAAACAAACAAGAAAGGGAGGGAATTGGAAAGGGTGGTGATAAATACCTTGCCACAGTACTTCGTGGGCAAAGGCCATGAGTTACCAATTCCATAATCCTCCGGTATTCTGCTGGACACACATTAGGTGCTCAGGAAATTCCAGTTGAATTGAAACTCTGGCTTCTGGTGGAGTAGATATCTGATAGGGTGGGGGTGGGGGAGAATTGGAATGCTTGAAGAAATCCAGCATGTTGTGGGACCTTAGAAATTTTCTCCAGAGTAGGTGATCCTTGGGCTAGGGGGCAGTTAACCCCTTTTGGGGAAAAACCTACACAAAAGTCCTGAATCAGAGCAGGAACTGGGCATGTAAAGATGGGGGTGGGGTGAAAATGGTGTCATTCCAGGGGAAAGGAATCAAAAGGCAAAGACACCAGACTGCAGGACTTTTCCTGGAAATACTGGAACAACAAGCTCTTGGCTGGGTCATTTTAGGCAGGAGATTTCGGACAGTAAGGATGGGAAGGTTAGAAGGTTGTACATCTCTAAATGTTTTTTTTTTTTTCTTATTTGTCTTCTAAATGTTTTTTTTTTTTTTTTTTTTTTTTTTTTTTTTTTTTGTCTTTTTTGTGACTGGTAAGGGGATCACAACCCACTGGCCATCTCTATATAGGATCCGAACTCGCGGCGGGAGCGCTGCTGAGCACCCAAGTGCTGCACTCTCCCGAGTGCGCCACGGGGCCGGCCCTAAATGTTTTTGATAGCACATCACTTAGGAAAAAAAATGTCCAGTCTGAACCCAAAATAAATATTTACAGTATTTATTTACAAGTTATTTACATGAACAAATGCATTAATGTTGTGTACTTTACAAAAATTTAAACAAAAAGATGGAAATTTCATTTATTTTTTTAACTATCTGATTTTTAATGTTTTTGTTTAATGTCATATTTATTTTTTAAACGATTTCAAATTTTCTTCTGTTACTCTTTTAAAATTTATTATTATTATTTTTTACATTCTAAGATGCTGTGGATCAGTTGGGGGTAGGGGGAGAGCAGACAGGAGGGGGGATAGGGTGGGAGGAAGAGAAAGGAAGGAGAGGCATGGTCAAGGCCCGCAGTACCGCCTCATTCTGTCCTGAGAGCCCAGGGGGCTTCCTGCTATGGCTTGGTGATGGCTTGGCTAGATGCGCAGTTCAGAGGGGTGTGGCTAAGGCCCTCAGCCCTCCCCCCACCCTGGCTGGGGAGCCCGAGGGGCTTCCAGTCTTTCTAGGTTTTATAGGTGTTTTTTGGTGGTGTTAGGCCCTTACTGGTTAATATCAGAACTTTGTCTTATCTGCGTGTTTTTTGTTTTTTCTTTCAGTTCTGTGTTCACTATTCCCACAACTTAAACTCTGCACTGGAACTAATTTGCTTACTTCTAAAATGGAGGAACTTACTGTGGGAACAAACACTTGTGTCCTGTGGTTGAGCTAAATTGCTGCTTTGCTGTTGATTCTCTGGGGAAGGCTTTTTGTGTAGCTTGGGTTTTAACTGTTGATCTTATAAGCACTTCTGAGTCTTGTGAGGTCCGAAACACCTGGGTTGTGTGGAAACTCTGTACTGGGCCTGAATCTTTTCAGCAAACTGTACCCCCTGCAGATCTATATTCCTGACCAGTCTTGACTGAGTGGTCCTGTGCTGACTGGAGGGCAGATCAGCTTTCCATGCTGTGCCCCAGTGTTTCCCCAGTGGGCCCGTCTCCCCACTGCCTACACTCCAAACACTTCCCATGGGATGGGCCATTCTACAGTCCCTTGTGGTAACTCACTGGCCTCTGAGTGACTCCTTTTTTCAGTTGTCTGTTGCCCCTCCAATCTATGTGGGTCCACAGGAATGCTGTTAGTGGTCTCGCTGGCCCTGAGTCCACCAAGGCCCTTTTCTCCCTTGCAGCCTCCAAGCAACGTCATACGAAGGGCACAGCTGCCAGTTCTTGCTCCATGTGCTCACCAGGGCCAAACTTGAAATGGCCAGGGCTTGAAATAGATGGAGTGACCCTTTCTTTATCTCATTGTGACTTCTTCTGCCTTCATGAACTCTGAAGGTCTCTCTTCCTCTTCCCCTGAGCTGTAGCAGCCCCAGCTTGGCAGTTTGTTGCCTTTTTTTTTTTTTCTCCTTTTTGTCTTTTTTCGTGACCGGTAGCGGGATCGCAACCTTCGGTGTCACACCCGCACCGTGCTCAACCAGTGAGCGGACCGGTCTGTATATGGGATCTGAACCCTGGGCAGGAGCGCCGCCACGCTCCCAAGCACCGCACTCTACCAAGTGCGCCACCGGGCCGGCCCAGTTTGTTGCTTTTGAATAGTTGTAAATTGGTTGATTGTGGGAGAGGGTGATGGCTGGGTACACTCTATTTTGCCATCTTGATCAGAAGTCAAGAGAGAAATTTTAAAAGATTAGATTTTAAAAACACCACACGGGTCAACTGCCAAAAAACAAACAAAAAAAGATCAGATAAAAAATATAAATATTCTAGAATTTTCTTCCCATACTCCCAGTGTAGGGCCCCATAAAACCCCAAAGGAGACATTCCCTAAAACATGGGGCCTTTCTGACTTCTCTTCCGGGTCCTAACATTCCCGCTGGCGCCAAAGTATGGCCTATCAAAATCATCACCCGCCCTTCCGACCAATCAGCCACCGCCCCGGAGTACTAACCACCCTCAACCAGAACTCAGCTCTCTATAAATGTATGCTTCACCCTCAAATAAAGCGGAACTTCTCCGGTGAACTGTCAGCTTGGGTCCTGTCGTTCTTTCACCCAGTGTATTATATAGCACACACACCACCACTTCAGTGTCTCTGATGTAGTCAAAGAGAGTCTCTGGAGGTTCGAAGGGGGGGGGCATGGTAGCATTCAATCCACAAACTTGAGCAGCTGAGACATCAAAGAATTACTATGGCCTTAGAGTGCTTTCCATGTGCCAGCCACCGCCTCTGTGCTTTATACATAACTCATTGAATCCTATAGCAACCCTACGCTCTAGGTACTACTATTATCTTTTCTTAACAGATGAGGAAACTGAGGCACGGCGAGGCTAAGAAACTTTACCAGGGTCATACAGATGTGGGGTACCCAGAGTTTAAACCCTTGTGTTTAGGGTTAGCAGTCCACGTGCGTAAGCGTTACCTGTATGTGTAGCGCGCGTGCGGGGGACGGGGACGGGGTCGTACGGACAATGTTCTAAGTCACGTCGCTCACCCAATCAGAGCTGTCATAAGAGTGCTAGCTAGGAACCAAGAACTCACTAAAGGCTATGCCCTCTTTAAAGCGGTCACCTAGCAAACGTCAGTTTACCGATTGTGTCCCCAAAGGCCAAGGCCAAAGGGCGCGCAGGCGCACATCACTGGGCTTGATTTCTAGGCTTTCGGGGCGAGGCGGCTGGGCGAAGGTCGGCTCCCGGGGTCGCGGCGTAAACGTCGCGCTGCGGGCATCCTTTGCGGCAGGGGTCCTTTGCGGCAGACATCCGCGTAGCAAGCCAGTTGTCCTGAAGCCGCGGCCAGTGAAGAGACAAGGACATTACGCCGTGACGGTAGGGGCTGCTTTTGTCTATGCGGCAATTTAACCTAAGGGGCTTTCTTCCGAGCTCTCCAACAGATTTCCTGTTGGCTTGCTGGGTGTCCCGTTCTCCCAGGCCCCAACTCTAGGAGTGTTCTCTGCTTTCCCAGGCCCCTTCACCCACACGGCCAACGTCACTGAAGCCTGGAGACCGCACTTCTCTCCGCCCTTTCCAGCTTTCTGCCGGACTAATGCGTTGGCCTTCTGTTCTTGACCTAAAGTCCACATTCCTTATCCCAGCTTTCAGGGCCCCGCGTGATTCCGGCCCCGACTACCTCTTAGCTCATTCTTCCAGTCATGCACTTCGAGCTCCAGCCGCTCTGAGGCCCCATAACATACCCAACACCTCCGGCTGTAACGTGTGCCCTTGCCCACGGATCTCCACTCGGAGAGCTCTTAACCTATCTTAAAGGCATTCTCACGTCTTCTGGGCAGAGTTGGCGCTTCTTCCTTCGAGCTCTTACCCACTCGTTCCTTCCAGGGGCTTTTCACTCCCCAGTGTGTGTGTCGAGTGCTTACATTGGTGCTACCGCTTTGCCCTCCATCTCAGTGCCTGGAACGTAATTACCCAGTAAATGATTGAAAGAATGGGAAAAAACTTTAGAAATTAAATGCACTAGTAAATCTGCTATGCGTACACAATTATATTGACGTGTGTGTGTGTGTGTGTGTGTGTGTGTACTTTTATCCAGTCTTCTTACGCAGGTTTTCTTTGGTATTATTGTAGTCTCTTTTTTTCGTTTAATGTGTTATTTATTTGTATCATATGTTATCCTTTTTTCCCAATGGCTGTCATATTCTACTAAATGGGTACCAGAATTTAATTACCCATTTCTTTATTGTTGCACATTTAAATTGTTTGAAATTCGTTTTTTCGGCAGTTACTGAGCCTGTACTTAGTCCCTGACTTCAAAGCACTTATCTAATAGGGGAAAAATAAATGGTCCGTTACGGTGGTGTGCAAAGTGCTGCAGTGGAAGTTGAGGGTGCTGTAGGAACACAGAAGAGAGATACCAGATTTAGGAGGACTTCGCAGAAGTGTCATCCAAATTGATATGGAAAGAATGGGTAGAAAAATGTAAAGAAATGTTTTATGGTTATGCTTTTTTCTTCTTTTCAGTTATTTTCTTCAAATCTCTTTCAAAGAAATTGAGATTGTTGAGTCAAACATAAACCCTTTTTGACTTTTGATTTATCAGTATAGAGATTTTTCTAAATTGTTCTTTTTTTTCTGGTTTTCTTTCCCTTGAGTTTTGTGAAAGCACAAAAATTACTCATCTACGCTGGCCAGTTAGCTCACTGTGGTGTTATAACACCAAGTGTCAAGAGTTTGGATCCCCGTACTGGCCAGCAGCCAAAAAAAAATTTTTTTTGTGCTCATCTGCCATTAACTGTAAGAATCTAATGAAAATGTTTGGTGAGAGGAAATTTGGAGAATAGTATCAAACAGCTGCCTAGAGGGCTCTCATGACTAACTATCTTATTTTTTTCTTAGAATTCTCATTCGATTGCACTGTTATGGCTTTTTTTTTTTTTTTTAATTTTCCATTACAGCCATGCCTTTCTTGGATGTGCAGAAAAGGTTGGGCATTAACATAGATCAGGGGTTGACAATCCAAAGTGCTGAACAGCCCTACAAGATTCCTGCTCGGTGCCATGCTTTTGAAAAAGAATGGATAGAATGTGCACATGGAATCGGTGGCATCCGGGCAAAGAAAGAGTGCAAGATAGAATATGAGGATTTCAAAGAATGTATTCTTCGGCAGAAAACGGTGAGGAAGTGACGGAGGTGGGAACTTCCTTGTTTCTTTGGGGCTACTTTTAAGTGTTTTTAATTGGCAGAACTTTTGTGGTGAAATACCTTTTCTACTTAGGTGCTATGACAAGGAAGTTAAATGCCTTCAGATTTGAGGAGGGCCCATTGTTCCTCAGTATTCTTCCTGATCTTTTCCCAAATGTTCTTAGCATTGTACCCTGCTGTAGCCACCAGGTTAGAAATTGCATATGTGTGTATATCCATTTTTTCAGTGGGCTGTAAAGCAAAGAATATCAATCAGCTTCAGATATTTGTCCTTGAAAAATCTCTGGGTGAAAATATTTCAAATTCATTGAACCCTCATTGGAGAAGAGGTTAAACCCTGCAGATTTATAACATTGAACATCATATGACAATCTCTGGATTCATTTCTACTCTGAGGATGATTGAGGTGTTAATGCAGTTGTTTTAGGTGAACCTGACCAAAGGTGCAGGGAAAAAAAATGATGTTAGCAGCATGGGTCCCCCTCCTCAAGAGTTTAATGAATTGTACAACATATAGACCCCTGTTCTCACCCATAGAAGAAGTGTTTGGGTGTGGGCTGTCATTTTGTCTATTCCTGTGCTCCAGATATAACACATAGAAATGTTTTTATTACTCCGAACTTCTTGGAGTTTGGGGAGACAATTTGGATTTTCAGTTAAATTTATATAGCAAACTTATCTGGATCAAAATTTTAACATTTCTTACCTCAACATCTGCTTTTGGCATTTGGATAAAATGAAGCCAAATTTGTGAGGAATGAGGGAGTGTCAGGTAATAATATTGTACTGATCTCTGCAGGAATATTGATCATGGGTGAGTAATATTTTATTTTTATTTATTTATTTATTTATTTTTTTGCTGGCTGGACCTTGGTGTTACCAGCTCCACGCTCTAATCAACTAATTACCAAATAAAGTAATCAGCCAAGTCTTTTTTTTTTTTTTTTGGCGTCTGGCTGGTACAGGGATCAAACCCTGGACCTTGGTCTTAGTAGCACCATGCTCCAACCAACTGAGCTAACTGGCCAGCCTAGGTGAGTAATATTTTAGTATTACTGAGGGACAATGGTTGGGTCATGGTTGGCCTTTATGGGTCATAGTTGGCTATCTTCCAGTCATTTAGTTCAAAACATCTCTTAAGTTCTCTTTTGGTCTCCAGTTATTTTATTGCTCCAATTAAGATTTTACCTAATCTTGAAAAATTTATACCAAGAAGAGGCAATGTAGTGAGGTGGAAAGAACATTGGATTGGGAGTTGGGAGAGCCAGATTCTGATACTGGTTCTGCTACCACTAGGTTTGTGACTTTGGGCAAACCACCTCCCCTTGGACTTGGTTTCCTTATCTAGAAAAATTAAAGAGTTGCCCTAAGGTCACTTCCTAATCCTATGAATTTATGAGTAGGTAAGTTACCATTTCAGAGGTACCCTAAATGACTAAGATACCTCCCCATAGATGAAGAAGCTAGTAAATTAGGGAATTAGAATCAAGTACTGTTCGAAGTTCTTAGCATGTAATAATGCATTTATTTTTCACAATAATCCTGCGAGGTAAGTTACTATTATTTTCCCCACTATGCAATTAAAAATTTGAGGCACGGAAAAATTAAGGACATTGCCTAAACTCATATAGCTAGTAATGGTGGAGCTGGGATTTGAACCTGGCAAGGCTAGCTCCAGAGCCTGTGCTTTTACCTATGACACTAAGTGGTTATTGCTTCTAGCTCAGAGAAAGACTTAACATGGTGTTGTCATAGCTCAACTGTGCTAGTTTTCTGTTGGGAGACTCTTTAATACAGTAATGCTGAGAATATAGTCTTCTTAAAATGGTTAATGTTTATGCCAGTATTTAGGATTTTTTTCTACTGAAGTTATATCCAGACTATTCTTTAAGGTTAACAATATATTTAACTAAATATATGAACTCTTCATACCCTTTGGGAAAAGTTAGTCATTCGTTAAAGAATACGTATGGGAGCACCTGTTATATGTTGGGAACTATTCTAGGCACTAGAAATATAATGGTAAGTAAAATAGCAAAAAATTCCCTGACTTCATGGAGCTTCTGGTCTAGTGGGAGGAAGGGCAGGAAATTAAATAAACAAGTAAAATATAGTATGTCAGTCAATGATAGGTGTGGTGGGGAAAATAAACAGCAGAATGTTAGAAAGTGTGGGGAGTGGGAGCTAAGTGGGTGCTGTTTTAAATAAGGTAGTCAGACTTGGAGCAGAGACTTGAAGGTGAAGCACATAGATTCAAGGGAAGAATGTTCAGATCAGAAGAAACAGCAAGTGCAGAGGTCCTTGAGCTGCAATGGAGAGAGTTACAGGAGAGAAAGTCAGAGAGGTAGGCCTGTAAGCCATTGTGAGGACTCATCTTTTTCTCTCAGTAAGGTAGGAAGCCATTGTAGGGTTTTCAGCAGAGGAAAAGTGTGATTAGGATTAGTAAGATATTTTGTAAGCCATTGTGAGGACTCATCTTTTTCTCTCAGTAAGATAGGAAGCCATTGTAGGGTTTTCAGCAGAGGAAAAGTGTGATTAGGATTAGTAAGATATTTTCTATGTCACAGGATCTAGGGGCCAGTTCCTTGTGTGGCTTTGACACAGTCTTATGTAGCATGGCTTTGATTTGTTGGAAGCAACCAATGGCCTGAGTAGAGAAGATAGAACTCATGGCTCAACAGTGACTAATGGCTGGGTACACATCAGGCCTTTGCTTCAGTATGGTAAAAAGAGACCTCACTTTGGCTGTTTCTCCTTCATTTGTACCTGCTGAACAGTCACCAGCAGCAGTGCCACTTTCACGTAGAGAGGTCAGGAATATATAAGCTGTGAGATTATGTTAATTATTAATATTTTTAAAGGTTTTAGTATGTACAAATATGCCACTTAAAGGTTTTTGTAAATATCTGCATTCGTATATATAGTATATTAAAAACATTTTAGTTATTAGTTTTTAAGGAGGTATTATGTATACCAGAAATTTATTTGTTAAAAAGCTTGGAGGGCTGGCCAGTTTGCTCATTTGGTTAGAGTGCAGTGTTATAACACCAAGGTCAAGAATTTGAATCCCTGTACCAGCCAGCTGCCAAAAAAAAAAAAAGCTTGGGAAATGATTTCAAGTCAGTTCTTTAAAGATGTACTTTATTTAAAGATGGACTCTAGGATGAAAAACCTTCCATAGTTTAAAAATGAAACAAAAATTTAGCTGTTTTTCCAGTCCTCACTTTCTAGTGCATATCTCCTCCTAGCTTAAATGCTTTTTTCCTTTGACAGATGAGACGCATCAATACCATCCAGAAGCAGCGGGATAAGCTAATAAAGGAAGGAAAGTATACCCCTCCACCTCACCACTTGGGCAAGGAGGATCCTAGGCCCTGAGTAGAGCAGCTGCTGATAGCTGGAGGCTGATTTTTATGTTCTCTGTTCTCACTGGAACGATTACTTACTGAAAACCTCTTTGTCAGAAGTGTGTAAATAAAAGATTGCTCCATCCAATTGGTTTTGTTTTCTCTTGGATCATACTTTTCTATAATGAGATTGCAGCTTATTTTTTAAGTTTGAAAAAATGCCTCTACTTGTGTGTAAAAAATTAGCATCTAGAGAATAACATTTTATGAATGCTTACTATATATGAGGTACTTTAAATATGTTAACTCATTTAAGAAGTTGCAGTATTCTTTAGTGCTTTAATTCTGGTTTATTCTCCATAAAACACAGACTTGGGCTGGGAGGGGGAGGCAGTGGAGATAGTAGTTGTGTGTTTACTATAAGGTCTGTGAAGTCTAACTTTAAGGCTAAGAAGATGCCAGGTTTTCAGATAATTTAGTTTTGAAGAAGCAAAATTTGCTATCTTGTATCAGTGGTATATTAGTACTTCTAATTAACATGTTTAGAAATGTGTTTTTGGAAGAAAAATCCAGATGTAGAAAGTATGAGCCTTAGAAATTAATGTAATAAATGTTGAGAATATAATTGAAACCTCAGGTATCCTGTAACATTTTTTCCCATTTTTATTGTGGTAAAAAACACAAAATTTACTACCTTCATTATTTGTAAGCATGCAGTTTAGTGATATTAACTATATTCATATTGTTGTGCAGTCATTACCACCATCCATCTCCATAAGTCTTTTATTTATAAAACTGAAACTGTCTACCCATTAAACAGTAACTCCCCATTCCCCTTCCCCCCACCCCCTAGCAAGCCCCATTCTACTTTCTCTTTTTTCGGGAGGGTGGGAGGTAGCTGGCCGGTACAGGGATCAAACCTGGGAGCTTGGTGTTATCAACACCATGCTCTAACCAACTGAGCTAGCCGGCCAGCCCCTCCATTCTACTCAATGATTTTGACACCTCTGGTACCTTATATAAGTGAAATCATACAGTATTTGTCTTTTTGTGACTGGCTTATTTCACTTAGCATAATGTCCTCAATTTTCACCCATCTTGTAGCATATGTTAGAATTTTCTTCCTTTTTAAGGCTGAATGATATTCCAATTTGTCTTTTTGTGACTGGCTTATTTCACTTAGCATAATGTCCTCAAGTTTCACCCATCTTGTAGCATATGTTAGAATTTTCTTCCTTTTTAAGGCTGAATGATATTCCATAGTAGTTGTATACCATATTTTGTTTGTCCATCCATCAATGGACTCTTGAGTTGCTTCCACATTTTAGCTATTGTTAATCCTCTATGAACATGTGTGTACAAATACCTCTTCAAGATCCTGCTTTCAGTTCTTTTGAGTATATACTTAAAAGTGGAATTGCTAAAGCATATGGTAGTTCTATTTTTCATTTTTTGGAGAACCATCATACCATCAAAGTTCATGGGAAAATAGTCAAGGTTTTGGATCTGTGTACCAGCCAGCCACCAAGAAGGAAAAAAAAAGTTCATGGAAAAATAGAATTAAAAGATAATACAAATCTTTCCATGAGTTTTTGAAGACCTCTGCATACTGTTTTTCACAGCAGCTGTACCATTTTACATACCCACAGTTCACGATTCCATTTTCTCAACATCCTCGTCGATACTTGCAGTTTTCTGTTTTTTCTGAGAGTAGCCATCCTAATGGGTGTGAGGTGGTATCTCGTTTCAATTTGGATTTTCCTAGTGATTAGTGATGTTGGAAATCTTTATGTGCTTATTTGCCATTTGTATATTTTCTTGGAGAAATTATTCAAGTTTTTTGTCCATTTTTGAATTGGGTTTTGTTTTTTTGTTGTTGACCTTCAGGAATTTTTTATATATTCTGGATATTAATCCTTTATCAGATATATAATTTGGAATTATTTTCTCCTGTACCGCAGGTTGCCTCTTTGTTTATGGTGTCTTTCGATTCCCAAGATGTTTTATTTTGTTTATATTTTTGGCAGCTGGCCTGTACAGGGATCTTAACCCTTGACCTTAGTGTGATCAACACTGTGCTCTAACCAACTGAGCTAACTGGCCAGCGTTGATTCCCAAGATATTTTAATTTTCATGAAGTCCAATTTGTTTTTTTGTTGTTGTTGGCCTTTTGTGTCATATCCGTGAAATCATTGCCAAATCCAATGTTGTGATGCTTTTGCCCTATGTTTTCTAAGAGTTTTATAGTTTTAGGTCTTACATTTAGATCATGGATCCATTTTGAGTTAATTTTTGTATATGGTATTAGGTGAGAGTCCAACCTCATTCTTTTGCACATCGATATCCAGTTTTCCCAGTACTGGTTGTTGAAGAAACTGTCCTTTTGCTATTGAATGATCTTGGCACCCTTGTTGAAAATCATTTGACCATATGCACAAGGATTAATTTCTCAACTCTATTCTATTCCATTGTTCTATACGTCACTCTTTATGCCACTGTAACACCATTTTGATTACTGTAGCTTTATAGTAAATTTTGAAAACAAGAAGTGTGAGTCCTGCAGCTTTATTCTTTTTCAGGAATGTTTTGGCTATTCAGGGTCCCTTTGAGATACCATATGAATTTTGGGATGGGCTTTTCTATTTCTGCAAAAAAAAAAAAGGCATTGGGATTATTTTTCCCTTCCTTTCCCTTTTTTTTCCTTTTATTTCTAATATTGACAGATAAAGTTGTATGTATTTACTGTGTACAACATGATGTTTTGAAGTATATATACATTGTGGAACAACTAAATCTAGCTAATTAACATGCATTACCTCACATAGTTACTAGTCATTGGGATTTTATTAGGGATTGCATTGTCTGTAGATCACTTCGGGGACTATTAACATCTTAACAATATTAAGTCTTCCTATCCATGAACATGGGATATCTTTCCATTTATTTATATCTCCTTTAATCTCTTTCAGAAATGTTTTGTACTTTTCATTATACAAGTCTTTTATCTCCTTGCTTAAGTTAATTCCTAAGTATTTTAATCTTTTTGATGCTGTTATAAATGGAATTGTTTTCTTAATTTTTCTTTCAGATTGTTCATTGTTAGTGCTGCAGCAATTTGAGTCTTAAATGTCTGCTATAGGGCTCGGATATAAGGTTGTCCTCAAATTAGAAGGTACATTGTGTTCTAGTCTGAAAATTGGAAGGATGGGATTTGGCATTTGATCAGGGCCCTGCTTATTCCTCATATTATAGGGCAAATCTTTAGCCAAATAGTGTTTTCCCTAAACCCAATACTAATCTCTAATCAGTCACAATGGAGAAGCAAGCTGCAGCCCTTCCAGCAAGATCCTACACTGTGGCCCTGTGTTAGGTTGTTTTATTGTGCTCTATACACACAAGCTTTTCTGAGTTTTTTTTTTTTTTTTTTTCTTTATTCTTTTTCAGGAATGTTTTGGCTATTCAGGGTCCCTTTGAGATACCATATGAATTTTGGGATGGGCTTTTCTATTTCTGCAAAAAAAAAAAAGGCATTGGGATTATTTTTCCCTTCCTTTCCCTTTTTTTTCCTTTTATTTCTAATATTGACAGATAAAGTTGTATGTATTTACTGTGTACAACATGATGTTTTGAAGTATATATACATTGTGGAACAACTAAATCTAGCTAATTAACATGCATTACCTCACATAGTTACTAGTCATTGGGATTTTATTAGGGATTGCATTGTCTGTAGATCACTTCGGGGACTATTAACATCTTAACAATATTAAGTCTTCCTATCCATGAACATGGGATATCTTTCCATTTATTTATATCTCCTTTAATCTCTTTCAGAAATGTTTTGTACTTTTCATTATACAAGTCTTTTATCTCCTTGCTTAAGTTAATTCCTAAGTATTTTAATCTTTTTGATGCTGTTATAAATGGAATTGTTTTCTTAATTTTTCTTTCAGATTGTTCATTGTTAGTGCTGCAGCAATTTGAGTCTTAAATGTCTGCTATAGGGCTCGGATATAAGGTTGTCCTCAAATTAGAAGGTACATTGTGTTCTAGTCTGAAAATTGGAAGGATGGGATTTGGCATTTGATCAGGGCCCTGCTTATTCCTCATATTATAGGGCAAATCTTTAGCCAAATAGTGTTTTCCCTAAACCCAATACTAATCTCTAATCAGTCACAATGGAGAAGCAAGCTGCAGCCCTTCCAGCAAGATCCTACACTGTGGCCCTGTGTTAGGTTGTTTTATTGTGCTCTATACACACAAGCTTTTCTGAGTTTTTTTTTTTTTTTTTTGTCTTTTGTCTTTTTTCCGTGTCCGGCAACGGATCGCAACCCTCAGTGTTGCCCCCGTACCGGACCAGGGACCGGCAACGGGATTGCAACCCTCGGTGTTGCTCCCGCCCCCGCTCAGCCAGTGAGCGGGAACTGGTCCGCATGTGGGATCCGAACCCTCGGACGGGAGCGCCGCCGCGCTTCCCAAGCGGCGCACTATCCAGTGCGCCACCGGGCTGGCCCCTTTTCTGAGTTTTTTAAAGTCCAAAACAGCATTCAGTGCATACATATTTTTGTAAAATCAGAGAGCCTAATTAGAAATGCCAGAGAAGAAAGCACAATATAAAACAGGTTTAAAGTAGGTATATGCTCTTTCATACAGATATCTTTTATTCCTGAGCTCTGAGTTGTGGAATGAAGAGAAGCCAAATCCCATTAGATTTATTTATTTAAAGGTAAAATATGAGTGAAAGAACACTTAATTGTGTTTATTGGAAAGCAGTAGTACCTTTACAGGATATCAAAAACCTTCAGTTACGTCAGATATCCATAAACAGCTCTGGCTCAAGCAGCCCTGTCTCTTGTCTTTGTATTTTTGGTGAGTTTTGTGCCTTGATTGCTTTTTTGATAAAGTACAGAAATGTGAGTTGGTGAAAGTGAGAAAATAGACCTACTGGCTCACCTATGGCTTCTTCCAGGAGCCAGCTCCAACACCTCTGTTCTTTAAGCAGTTTGAATAAGAACAAGCAGAGTTAGGCCTGTATCTTTTTGACCAGCTAAGTTGGTTCAGAATAGAACTGAGGTTGGAGGACAGGAGGAGCAGAAAGCTGTGAGGTCCTTTAAAAAAATTTTTTTTGGTGGCTAGCTGATACGGGGATCTGAACCCTTGACCTTCATGTTATAACACCACACTGTAACCAACTGAGCTAAGTGGCCAGCTCCCTTTAAAAGTGATGATTAAAAACTCTTGAGAACAGACTGGTCAGTTAGCACAGTCAGAGCACGGTGTTATAACACCAAGGTTCGGATCCCCATAATGGCCAGCCACGAAAACAAACAAATAGAAAAACTCAGAGGTTGTCCAGTACCCAGGGCTTAGTACTTACCACAAGTACTAAGTCTATTTTCAAGTCAGTCTCTACCTCTAGGCTGTGAGCTCCAAGAGAGCAGGATTATGTTTTATTTCCTTTCATACCTTCAGGGTTTAGCATAACCTCCACATAATAGGTGCTCATTAAGTGCTTGTTGAGGGAGTAAACAAACACACATGTACACCGTAGACAGACACAGTTCCGTGTGTATAGCAAGAGTCCCAGGGAGGAAGCAGACACGGTACACACATACCTAAAAAGGAGATGCAATGCTGCATGTTTTACAATAGCAGAGGCAAAGGAGGCTGCTGGTAGGCAAGACTCTGTGGTGATGTGGGGTGTTGGAGAGGGACCTAAGAATGGGTAGAATCAGCTCAAGGGCTGAGTGGCCTTAACGTGAACTGGTGAGGGGTCCTGGAAGTCAGGGGTGTTCTGCCTCCCTGTTGGCGATATTCAGGGGCTCCACTGTGGGTCTGGGTTGTAGAACAAGGACTGCAGGGGTCAGAGCTAAACAGCTTTTTGTTCTGCCTATTCCCACTCCCAGGATTCTTGCTACCTTATTCCTTAAACTCCTGCTCATTCTTACAAATACTCTTGGACATATTTGTATT